TTAAATTCTGTTAAGGATCAGCTTTGATACTGACATGAAGTAGTGACCTTACTTGCAGTTATCCCTCTGTCATTTTGTGAATTTCTCAAGAGAATAAATAATGCGCTTAGCACCAAATAAATACCCTTTAATAAGATGGTATTTTTGATCACCCTTTCACTTCACATTGCAAACAGATTCACACTTTTTCTGTTTGAGCACAGCCTGGGGTGCTATTTCTGCTAATAGCATTAAAAAATATGTTGGAGTATGTCCACATAGTATTGTTTTTTTCTCCAAATGTAGAATTAAGGAACCCTTATGTTCTCTGTAACTTGGATATTTGCCTTTGTTTAAGTCTTATTTGTATTTGTTTCAAGTTGTCCTCTGGTAGATAAGCTTTTATATCTATGTTTGCTTCTGGGAACTGTTACCAGATCAAGAGACGAAGTAAGGATTTTGTCAAGGACTGAAGTATCTCTATTTCCCAGAAATGCAGCCTGCTGTGCCATGGGCAGGAGCCTTAGCTTGTATCCTCGCCTGCACTCACCGAAACACCTGGATGTGGGATAGTTTCCTCCCCAGTGATGGCCTTTTCTTTTCCACCTTGGTTCCACGAAGTCCATTCGCCTTTATTCTTCTTCATTTTTGCCCTGGCTGCCCCCCACCCCAAAGCCTGCATCGCTTAAACATTTTGCATCCTGAATATTGCTGGCTCGCTCATTTTCAGCGAGGTAATAGTGAGGGGAGTCACTGATTTATGAAGATGGGAGATGAAGTAATGTCCATTCTGTATTTCTTTAAAGCTTGGTAATTTCCAGGATTCTGGGATTTATGGAATGACTAAATACACCAGCGAGAACATAGCCCCAGCCTGACTTACTTGATTTATTTAACAGACGATCACAATTTTGAAATAATTGCTTTAAGAACGTGTAGTTCACTGAAATACTACACCCAACAGTTGAGTAACAGGTCACACTGTAGGCTGTATCCGGGGCCCGCTGACTCCTCTAAGGCTGTTTGTGGGGTAAGATGCTCCTGAAGATGAGTAACGGTTTCACAGCTTTCTGCATCTGTAATGAAGTGTCTCACCCCACAGCTTTCCATTTTCAGCATTTTAAATGTTTTCAAACCGGGAAGTTAAGTGAATAATTTAAATTTTTATTCCTTGTGTGGTGTGCCGTATTCCCGTTTTCTCATTCTATTTTGTGACTCGTATTAAAATCTTAAGCGTAATGGTCTTTGAGCAATTTTTCTTTTAATTGCAGATCGTTAGTTTGAATATGAATGCTAAAATGAGTTTGTCACACTGTTCATCTTTTTTCTTAAAAAAAAAAAAAAAAAAAGGAAAAAAAAAAGCTTCTTTCCGGAAAAAAAAACCCAAGCTTTCTCATCTCGCCAAAAACTACCGTACGGATAAACCTAAACCAAATGGGAAAATTCAACACACCGTAGAGACACCTTTCAGCAACTTTCTCCGGGAACCGCTGCTGTAAATGCCCGTTTTCTTACAACCGCCCTGCAAATCCTCCCTCTGAGAGTGTGCTTTCTGAAAGGTGCTTTTAAACCTTTCCTATTTATATATATATATATTTTTTTTTTTTTTTATTATTTTTTTTCCCGAGAGATGGCCGGTACCTGACCCGCGCTCTGCCCGGGTTTATTCCCTACCCCTGCCTTGTGGGCCTGATTAACGCTCCTTATTAATAGGAGAAGAGGAAGTGTTTCCGACGGCCCCGGCAAGCGGCGGCCCTTTCCCAGGGAAGCAAGCGCTTTCCTTCCTCTCCTTCCCTCTCCTCCTCCTCAGGCCTTTCCCCACGCGTGTCCGGCATCTCGCCCCGTGGAGGGAGCCTTGGCTCCAGGGAAGTGTTCCTGGGAAGAGTTCCTCCTGACCATCGTTTAACGGCCCATTATTATAGTTATTATTGTTGTTGTTATTTTTCTTGTTGTTATTATTATTATCCCTTTTTAATTTATTTTTCCCAACCGGCTCTGACACCCCGAGGGGGGACTTTGCCTGGAAACTTTACGTGGAAATACTCGGGAATCTGAATCCGGGGGAGGGAAGGGAGGAGGTGATGCACCCCCCCCCACCTCATCACCCCCCCTCAGGCTTATTCCCCACAGCACCCCAGCCATACACACACACACACACACACACACGCACACACATTTGTGTCCAAGGTTATTCACGAGTTGCCTGATGTATTGTTTTATTACATGCCGGCATGTCCACGGGCGCGCTCGGATCTGTATTGCTGTCTACATGACAGATGGTGCTCTGTGAGGCCGCAAGAAGATACGATTCAATTTTCTTTTGAAAGGCACGTCCGCTTTTATTTATTTATTTATTTATCCCTTCTTCCCCCACCCCTCATCCTCCCCCCCTCCACCCTCCCAATCCCCCTTCACCATCCCCTTTCGCGCTGGGAGGGGTGAGGAGGGAAAATTTAAAGGACTGGAAAAGTTCGGCCGCTGCCGTGGGGTTTTGTTTCTTCTTGAATCCCACGCTAAAAAAAAAAAAA